CCTTAATATGACGAGATACCATATAAGCCTGACAGGTATCCATTCGTTCTACTAAAATGCTCTGGAAATTTGTTGCACGAAAAAAAAGCCACTGTTCGAGCTCTACAAACAAAATCACAATTTTCAAGAGCAACTCATATTTCAGTAATACAGCATAGCATAAATAAGTTAAAATCAGTTTTAAAAAAAAATACCCCAAAACCCTTACATTATTAAAAGGCAATTATAAAAGGACAACGAACAGCCGTATACTCGTTCAAGGAAGTTTTTCTGAAAAGTTCAAAAGTGAAAATTGCCTTAGGTGTAAGCCGTACATACGTTGGCCCTATCTCAATGCTGGCAAATGTTCAGGAAGGGATGTGATAAGCAATACAGTGCACCATCATCGTTGTATTACGATTAAAGGAGAGGACAACCTATAGACTTCAACCTGTATTTACTCGCTGGTACGTCTAACGAGTCCAGCTAGTGCTACTTTGGGGGTAAAAAAAAGGTGATTGTCATTAAGTTGTAAGATCATCGCTAATACAGTGGATGCTTACTTTTAAGTTTTTTGGACTCCCATCAAACTACTGACAATTTTCAACATGTTAGGGATTGTATACGTATACCGTATCATCCACGAGAAGCAATTTTTTTTCCATGGATGAAGAGATGAAATTTGTGGTACCCGTTCAGATTACTGGTGGTTACTTGAATGTCAGTTGCAGGGAGAGCTAAAACAAGCGTGATAACTATTTTGAAAGTGATTCTAAACTGTAAAATCAATCTGATTTTTTTTGTTATTTCTAAAGTAATGTCAAAGGAGCCTCATAGTAACCCATATTACTTGACAAAACAGTCCCTAGGTCCGTGTAGCGTAAGCGATGTTAACTACATCGGCCTCATGCGTATTTATTTTAAACCCACAGTTTAAATTCTATGACTAATCAAAAAAAAAAATTTATTTTTTATCTTTATTTTAGCTGTGAAAAATAGGATGTATTCTTGGAGTAAATCAAAAGGGGCTGAGAAGCTGACTGGTCTTTAAAAATTTAAAACTGTACATTAAATGACGCGAAAAAGTTTTGGCCAGATTGACGGACAGCTCTAATACGCAGTCTGAAAGTACTGGAGCAAGTGAAGAACTTTTGAATTGGAATAATTGATTTAAAAATAAAGCTGAAAAAAAAAATTCTGACCTGGAAATTAAGATTGCATATCAAATCAAAGCTATTTTATAAAAGAAAAAATGAAAATTATAATTGAAATAATAGACACTGCAAGGTGCACTATGGTATGTGGAAAAAAGTAAGAATGAGAAGTCAAAAATTGTTATTCTTGTTTTTTTCTAAATTTTCTAAATTTTTCTAAATTCTAAATTTTTCGAGACACAAATAATGAATGCTTTTACGTACCACAGACACAGCTGGTAAAGAATTTTAAATTATGGCAGTAAAGAATTGCCAAAATTTAATTCTCTTTTTAGTCAGTGGGTGCCCATATAACGTACTCGTCGTGAATATTCAAGAAAAAAATTTTTTAAATTGTACCTTCTGAAAAGTGCCTATCAGATGTGCATGGTGAAAAATTTTAAAAACTGAAGGAAAAGAACTTAAGGCAAATGTCATACGACCTGTCTTCATAAAGGTATGCTGCTAATCACTGGCACATTGTGTATATATGTGATATGCCATCAATATTAGGTTACTTTTGATTATCTTCGCCGTTTATTCTTTCATATTCTTGCTTTAACTAATTTTTTCTGCCGAGATTTTGGTAGAAACATGCAAACATCTTTATTTTTTACATATATTTCTTTATTTACTTACTGCAAACATTGGAAACCTAGCTGATAATTTTTTTATTATCACGAACTATTTAGCCATTAATTAAACGACACGTAACAAAAACAAGAGGTGACCACTCAAATGTTTTATTGAAATCGTCCTGAGTGTATTAAATAAACGTTCTTTAAAACGCCACAAATACTAGGCTACTATCCATGCGTATTTTAAATTGTATTCCTAAAACGAACATTTCAAAGGCGCGAAATCGTTGTTTAATTGGACTACGGAACGATGGAATACTATGCGCAGCAATTTCCTTGTATTTTACCATCGTAGTAGCCCTTTGATGTTTTTTCCTGTATCCGTGACTCGGTCTTTGTTTTCTTGTATGGTAGTGCAAGTTTTTTGAGTAATGTGTGATTCGTGCACACACTGTACTTATAAAATTTACTGAAGGGTTTGACTGTATATCAGTTGCGTGCTTGAATGTTCGTTCTTGAAACAGAATCAGAAACCTGTGAGGTTTGGGTAATCTCCTTTTTTCGACAGTTCTCTCTATAATCTATATGTTGCTTATAATTATTGGGAACTTGTTACTTACTCCTATTTTTTCTTACTATAACTATTGCTAGAATGTTTAATAATATTCCAAGCTTTAAGAACCAGTTTTAAGAATGCTTCTAACTTTTCAGTACTACTTGTGAGGAATCACCGTTTTAATCACTACAAAGCCTCGTAGTAACTGTGAAGTATCCGGAACATATCACGGTTTTTTGTTACCTGTTGTTTACAACAATCTTCCAACAATTTTTCAGGAATGGCACGAAAGCCTCTAGTTGCATCAGATATAGATAATGTGTCCAACGCGTCGAGTTCGAGAAGATATTACTCTCGAGGTTTAACGTAATTTGTGCTTTTTTTCTTCTATAGTTTGGAAGGTAGAGGTCCCCCAGCTCTTCTTTAATCGAAGCTGAAAGTATCTTATAAAAATCAAATTATCTAGCTAAGAAATTAAGTTTCTTGACCAGTAGATTTTATAAAAGAGCAACTAAGCATATGCATTAACCGACCAGTCTTCTCGGCGTGTTAGCTTTCGCTTAAATTGACTTTTCATGATTAGACGGTAGTTTCAAAGACCTGGTTTTAGTTAGTTTTTCTGAGCGGTTGTGCCCCTTCTCCCTGACACTCCCGCGCGTCCCGCATACTGTAGTCGGTAAGCAGAAACAGCATATTTCCAGCGCAGTGCGCTGAATCTCTTTATTTTTATGGGTTTCATATGCGTTCTTATCTAATTTTCTCAGAAAATTTAATTATATAATTTCTTTTTCACGTTTTAAGGTTCGTTAGCGTTTGCCCCTTTAGGCTTTTTTGAGTTGTTCGTTCAGGTAGAGGTGTGATATAATGTATGTGTGGTTGTTTTACAGTCAGATTTACCTGTCGCGAGGTTTACATATTTTTTGCTCATAATTCTGCCTCATTTATTCTTCTCATTTAGTTCAGAAATATTTACCCAGTTTTTTGACCGTTCATCTTTTCCACATTAACTTAGCTTATCTGACATTAGGGTGTTGGGAAATATTTTTACTTTTCTTTCAATTTTTTATATAATTCCTAATCCAGCCAGTTGAAGGCAGATAGCGAAAAATAATGCGCCACTTAAGTGAGAAATATATATTTTGCTAGGTAATATTTTCGTGCTGCTGTGGTCAAGAAAAACGGTGTGAATGATGAAGTGTGTCACATAAGGGGACTAGATAGAAATCCTGCAAAACATCAGTAAATACAATGTACTACTGTTATTGGGAGCGTCATGAACGAGAAGGCTTTCTGATATTGAGGCTGAGAAGTAGTATGTAAAGTTGCTTGAAATTGCTCTAAACGATCCGGAGCGTGAGGAAATTGTGTGCAAAAATAAAAGTGTGTTAGAGGATAAAAATTTTTTTAGGATTACGGTACAGCAAAATGGATTCACTTTCGTTTTGATGAATTAGTTTAATCGTTTTTTACTTTCATTCTTAACATTGAGAAACTACAATAGGAAACTTAAGGGGAGTAATCAGCATATTAATTTGCAGTTGCAAAGACCGAAGCTAATTTTTACATAAGTATTGGGGATAACACTGTTTCACCACTGGACAGTCCCCGCAGAAAATCGTCCAAATGCGCTCAAAAGCGTTCACAAAAAAATGGGTGCCGGGCTCGGGATGGAAGACGGCTCACTGACGATTTAAGCAGAAGCCTTCAGAAAACGCCTCAGAGTCAGAGAGTGTTGCGGTCTAGTGAAAATACACCTTGTCAAAACTTGGCTGAAGCAGTGCGGGATATTGGCTTGACAAGTAAAAAGCGTCGTTCAGTAGCGCGGCAGTTGTACACTGAGGAGACTCCAAGCAAAGTTTTGGCGAGAAGGTTGGAAAAAGTAATGAATTTTTTCAATTAAATCTGCATGATAATTCAAGTTTTGGAAAGCAGATAAGGATATTTTAAGGGACCTTCTTCTTTACCTTTATTGAAGTTTTTTATTTTCAGATTGATTTGACGTACGTTGATGAAGAGCCAGAGTACATTATAACGAATACTGAAAATTTGAAAATCACGTTAGTTTGAAGTTTTTTAATAACATGTTGTATAGTGCCACTTCTTAAATTGATTTTGATAAGATTTAAGCAGTAGTTTATGTTTACTGGTTAAAGTTGTTCTGCTTATTTTCTAATCTCTTCTGTCGAAGAATAATTTGGTTAAAGAATAGGATTGTTGGAGAGCCTACTTCTGTTTTGGTTTCATATATCGCGAAAGGATTGCCAAGTTTTACCAACCTTTTGAGCATCGGGAATTAGGGTAGCTTGTTTTAGTGGTTCTGACCGGTTACGAACGAAACGTTAGGAGAAATTCACTCTTTCTTATTACACTTAATTCTTTAGTGCGTAGCGTGATTACTTTGCTCGTTTGTAACTGTAATGGGAGTGAAAAAGGAGCTCAAAAAAGATTTCTTTAGAGAAATTAATCATCTTTGTGCTTACTTTTTTCAAATAATTACAGGTTAAAAAAGCAATCAGAGAAGTCATCTTTGAAAAGAGAAGGTAAGTTATCCCGCCTTTCGTTTTAAAGTTGCACATTCAGTCCACAATCATTCTGATGTGTCTTAACTAGTCCTTTTACAGTGCCAATCAATGCAAATTGCGATAAAACCCCATCACCCTCAAAAAGATGCCGGCAAGATGTAAATTTGGTAATTACAAAGCTTCTTGATTCACTTGTTTGTTCGGCTGCATCAAAATTGTGATAGGCAGGAAACTGTGAAAATTATTCCTATGGTACGGGGTGAAATGAATTATTAGGTCTCACTATGAAGATTACTTTGTTCATTCTGATTACGGGAGTATGTTATATATGAATTAACTGGTTTATTTCTTATTTTTAGAGCACGTTTTTACTATAACTAAAAGGCTCTAATTTGTCAGCCAAGTTAGTTAGATTTTTTCTTCAAGTGACTGTTTCATCATAGTTTTTTTGCCTACAGGAAGAGGAGAGTTCAGAGTTTGAAGATATGCCGTTGAGACGAATGAAACGACTTCTCCATACTTGTGAAGTCCCGGAAAGGTTGCCTTGCCGCGAGAAAGAATTTGAGAAAATATGTTTATTTATTAGGGATTGTGTGAAGAAAAATGGATTTTCTCAAGTGATGTATTTGTCCGGTGTTCCTGGGACTGGCAAGACGGCGACTGTTATCCAGGTAGCAACTTCTTCTCAATTTTGGAGAATATTCTTAAGGTCTTCAATTCTTAATATTGTATTTGCCTTTGTCTTGGAAGCATGTTAAGGTTTTGTGAAAGTTGTGGTTATAGGCAATTAGGGAGTTGCAGAAATCTTTTTCTTTCAAATATTCAATAGTGAATGCGATGGAACTTTTGGACGCAAAGAAAATTTATGCTAAGATTTGTTATGACTTAGTATGCCCAAGGAGAAGGATTCCTTTAAGGTATTAAATTTGAACTTTTATCTTTTGGCTCTTTGTTTGTTTGTTTGTTTTTGCAGAAAGCTTATTATATCTCGTAAAATCGTATTTTTCGTCTTATAGTTATTTTCGGACTTTCGTGTCGATGTCTTTTTTCTTTTTACAGTGAAGCACGTGGAAAGTTGGATACTTTTTTGTCGCAAGGGGCTGATATATCTGTTATTCTTGTGATTGATGAGGTTCCTTCTTTTCATTATTGTGTTGTAATGAGTCTAGTTCTTTTGATTTTCTAGTTCTTCCCTTTACAGTTTCCTTCCCAAAACAAAACTTGTTTTTATATCATCAAATATTATCTATTTCTCTATTTAGCTTATTGGAGGTGTTTTTGTGTTGCTCTTTTTAGTGAAATAAATTAAAGCATATGATTCTTGTCGGAAGTCATACTTAAATGTATTTATTACTGTGTATTTTAGTTAGACATCTTGTGTAACAAAGGTCAGGAATTGGTTTATGACATTTTGAACTGGACTGAAAAAGCAACGTTTCCAGTGGGTGTAATAGCGATTGCTAATACATTCGATTTACATGAACGATTTCTTGCAAGACGGATTATGAGCCGCATGGTGCTCAACAAGCTTATACACTATTTTCCGTGCTTATTTTAATCTTATCTGCTTTTCTTTGAAATTGCTCATGAGAAAAAGGTTCTTGGGATAGTTCAAGTTGATAATTTAGGGCGCCAACCGGCTTCAGTTTCAGCCATATAAAAGGGGAGAAATTGAAAGTATTCTTCGATACCGTTTGCAAGGTTCTGGAGCTGTAAGACCGGATGCTATAGAATTGGCGAGCAGAAAGGTTTTTTT